CCCTCCCCTCCCCTCCCCACCAGGCCCTGGTCTCACCAGAACGGGGCCACGATGCCCAGCTGGGTCTCATTCAGACCAATGCTGTACTTGGGATTCTCGGCCATGATCCGGTAGTCACATGACATGGCCATGAAGCATCCCCCTGCAGGGCTGGACCCCTAAAAAGGAACAGAGGATGGGGAGGCACCCAAGTCAAGAACTGGGGGGCTAACGGTCATCGATCCCAACCCCCTGTCCATGGGGGCGTGTCTCAGCTCTGGAAGTGGTTCTGGGCGGCCGGAGGAGGAAAACGCCTTGCGGGCGGCGGGATGTCTGTCAAACGAACTTACGTTGACCGCCGCAATGGTGACCATGCTGGAGCTGTAGAGAGTCAGCCACATCTCTTGCACCGCCCGCCAGAACTCTGCATAATGCTCTTCACTCTTGCCGCACATCTCGGTGATGTCCAGCCCGGCCGAGAAAATCTGGGGCACAGCCTGGAAAGAGGGAAGGAGAGCATCTCCCCGTTTTAGCCACGGAAACCTTTCCTCCACCACGAAGTGCCTAAACTGTACAGGAAGCTTGGAAAATAATTATTTTTAAAATGGCTTTTGTTACACGTGAATTGGTACTCTCTCCACATCCAATAATTCATGACTATTTTTTAAAAAAGAAAGAAAAACTGTTGATTCACTTCTCATGTTTCCAAAGGGAAGTTAGCATAAAGACATAAAACGGCTAATCAATAAATAAACAAAGCAAAGAAACAGACAAGAGAGAGTAAAGGCGACCTCATGCATTTCTTGGCCCCAACGCTGCAAAAGCCAAGGTGGGCCAAGAATCTTTCCCCTCCATCCCCCCCCCCACGTACCGAAGTCAGGATGACACCTCGGCAGGCCTTGTTATTCTCCAGTTTTTCCAGGCTTATGCAAAACTCGGTGAGGAAGTCCAGGCTCAAGCTGTTCACGGGCGGGCTTTTCAGCTTCATGGCCGCGACGCCTGCGGAGCAAAGAGACCGACTCGGAGGGAGACCCCGGAGGGGCTGCGAGGGCCCCAAACGAGCGCAGCCCCGAAAAGACGGGCCCCCAAGCGGCAGGCCTTGTTATTCTCCAGTTTTTCCAGGCTTATGCAAAACTCGGTGAGGAAGTCCAGGCTCAAGCTGTTCACGGGCGGGCTTTTCAGCTTCATGGCCGCGACGCCTGCGGAGCAAAGAGACCGACTCGGAGGGAGACCCCGGAGGGGCTGCGAGGGCCCCAAACGAGCGCAGCCCCGAAAAGACGGGCCCCCAAGACGGATTCGTCGCGGAGACCCCTCG